CCTTCAGGAGCTTCATGTGTTTGAACATCGTTTATCATCTTGATATTTAATCCTAACAGTTGTTTTACTCTTTCTTTCTCTTTTTCTTTCATGTTTAGCAGCAGATTGACTTTGTCATATTTTCACCAAAGTGATCCATTTGATATAGTTCAGAAACAACTTCTTTATTTATTTGACAGTTTACAATGAGCGCATTTTAAACGGAGGCTAAATCTACAGTTTCTAATTAAAACTACTATGCTGCAGTTTTAACCCTAGTGGATTTTAGGTTTGAAGTCCTTTTTTTGTTGATTAAAATCAGTAAAATTTTATCAAACATGTTATGATTGTTAGCCACTATCCAACGTTATTATTTAGTCTTCTAACATTTTAAAAATCCAGGTTCCTTTTCTACATCAAAAAGAAAAAAATTGTATAGGTCTTCTGGACGGGTTCTTCTCTAATGAAACGTTTCGTCTCTCCTCCAAGAGACTTCTTCAGTCTGAAAGTCTGAGAGACAAAGCAGCCACTGTTCAAAAGAATGTCCCAASACAGACGAGCTACATYTAATGGCCAGAACTCTGCAGTTTTCACTCATTTACAGGCCAGCGGTCACTCTTTCAGAGATGAGGATGTTCTCATTCTTGATAGAGAGGAACGTTGGTTTGAGAGAGGAGTAAAAGAAGCCATTTTTGTGAAGAAAGACCGTTCATCATTAAACAGAGGTGGAGGCCTCCGTTTTCAGTTGTCCCCCTCCTACAGTGCTGCGATTGCCAGTATCACTCCACCACCTGTTAATAATAGGTGTTAATTGGGTGTCAACGATAGCCATGTGATGTGAGTATCAGTCACATGGAGGCAGGGCTTAAAAGCCTGAATTTTACCTGAAACTCTCAGACTGAAGAAGTCTCTTGGAGGAGAGACGAAATGTTTCATTAGAGAAGAACCCGTCCAGAAGACCTATATAATATTTTTCTTTTTGATTCCTTTACCTGGATTACTGAGATGCATCAGGACACTTTTCTACATCATTAAAAATCCAAACATTGTTAAAATTCCTTTCAAACACAAATGCAACAGCAGTTTAAAGAAATACAGTTCCAGACTCCACGTTTGTCTCGTTTACTGTCAAAAAATAGTCTTTAACAGATTTAATTTTATTGTGATGTTATCCCAGCGACTTTAATGCTCCGTGAAGCTTTAAATCATAAATCCACAAATTATATTGCGTACGTTGTTTTGAATCGAACCCACATGATTTGTCACAAATGGTGCTGGGGAGACCGGCCCAGAAGCCTGTGTGAAGGCCTCATTTGGGACAACTTTGTGTTTGACAAACTTTTGCTTTATTGACCACACACAGACAAGAACCTTCCTGTTCGACTGTGGCCTGTCAGCTCGGCACACAAACAGGCCTGTGAGAAAGTCAGCCTAGTGTTTACCAAAGTCTTGATGCAACACCTCTGTTTCAGACATCAATGCCTCCACTGTCGCCAAGGGCATTTCTACAGAGAGAAAAGAACCCTCCAAGGTGGGGGTGGTAACTCCTGGGGCATCATTTTCATCTGTTCTCAGGAAAAAAAAAAGGCAAAGAAAACCTTAATTTGCAATCAATTAAACAAATCTTTCAAACTAAATGGCTGAAAAGAGGAGCTTTACTTGGTGCCGGTGCTTTCTGTATTAGTTTCCTCATTAGTAAGGACAAACCATTCTTCAAAATAAATCTTAAAGCCACAAAGGGGTCACAGAGGTCACCCAAATAATCTCTCTTGATGATGTCCTGCTGATAGAGAGGCAGCCAGGCTTCTCAAGTCAACCAGAGAAGAGGTGGTGGTCCTGGTCATGTGGCCTCCCTCAGCGCGCTCCACGCTCCTCTGCCTCAACCACCTTCCCAGCATATACTCCCTGGGTGGAGTCCCTGTGGCCTGAGGAGCCCATTTTTAACATTTTGACAACTCAGCTGTGGGAGTGTTTCATCACTGCTGCACATCCACAGCTTCACTCCCCCATTTTAAGTCAGTGAAATGTGGATTTGGACATCTGGCTTTGAAGAAGAGCAAAGTCAGCGAAGTAAATAATCAAGTCTGGCGTCGAGTCGAGCTTTGATCTGCTGGTTCGCTGGTAGCACGGCGTTCTCAGAGACGTTTCAACCGCCGAGAGAATTTATTTTTCAGTAGGTTGTAAATAGAAGAATGTGAATATCTCGTAACAGATGGAAAAACTCTCTCTTTCTTTGCCCATCAGTTTAAAAATGCAGTCACAGATGGATGACTGATAAAATAGAGATATAATGTGCAATAAAGTCCCGTGCCATCTGCCTTTGAGTTCAGTTTGAGGAAGCTGCTTTGCTGGGCTTGTGATGGATGTTCAGAGTCGAGCAGTTGTGGCTGCGGAGCTCGCGGATCATCCGCATTTCCTAACAGCAACTGGTGGCCTCCAGCCTTCCCAACAGTTGCCATGTTTCACCCACAGGAAGCGGTATACGGCTGGTCATATAGGGTTTAGGGCACCTTGATTGAATGGATTATCTTTTAGTTTTTAAAGCTGGTGATGAATTACCGGCTCTTGGTAACTAATTAACCATTTTCCTCGGTTCAGGCGTGGAGGCTCTTTGAATACGGAGCAGCGCTGAGGTTGAAGCTCTCATTAGGAGTGGATTTTATCACAGACTTTTGATTGTCTCGCAATCGCCCGAGTTTGAACTTTGGATTTGTTTATGTTCGTTCTTGTAAGCCGAGCAGCAAAAGTTGGTGTCGGAACAAAACTTAAGAGTCGGAGCAAACCTTTTGGTGGATCGTCCGAGCTCGGATTGGAAAAGAGGTTTTCCATCTATGTTTTGGAGTTTGTTGAGTTTTTTTTTTTTTTTTTTTTGCCTTGGCGTGGCACAATGTGCAGGCCTCTCATTTACCGTAAACCCTCCCAGTGCTCGTCTACCAGTCTCCTCCCACAGCCCCCCGTTATCCCCCCCGTTTATAAAATTTGTTATAGTTTCTAGGGAGGCAGTGCGCTCTGACTGTAACCAAACCTCCGCAACTCTTAGAGCTTGTAGTCTGCAGGACTGTTTTTTTTTTACACTCATCTGTTGTAGACTCCCTCTGCTCCGTGTGACCTCACTTTCGTAAGGGCCACTTTTTAGTTAAAGCACTTTTTTCCCCCTGCCTAGTTTGTGTGAGACAGAGCAAGAGGGGGGCTGGGGGAGGGTTTGGTAAGGGTTTTGGCAGCTCCTTTGATCAATAAAGCATAAACAAGAGGGGGGCTTCAGAACGGGCTTCATTGTGCCAGGGGGAGGAGTGCTGAGTCAGGCCCGCTCGCTCTCTGGCCTGGGATAGAGAGCAGACAGGCAGGATGGGATTACCGAAGCGGCCAAGAGAAACTTTTTGAAGCTCTCACTTCATCCAGCTGTTCCAAAATCTGCTCTAATGGCGCTTTAGGATCAAATGAACACCGAGCCGTGCAGAGAAATGGTGAAATAAGAATATTTTCATTAGGAATAAACTCTTACTTTTGTCCCGTCTGAGATTTGTTCACTCCAGAAGTTTTGGCGTCGCGTAAACAAGCTGCTGGAGTCTGTTTTGAAATGAGAGGGGCTGGTGACGGGGGTCTCTTAAATAGGATGGCTCAGAAAACAAAACAAAAGTGAATAGTTAGGTTTTTAGGTCGTAGCTCAGTCTGCGCCTTTGTCATGCAGGTGAAAGCTTTGTAAATGTGGCGCCAGATTGTTAAAGCCCCTGACACTCTGCAGTGTCCGAGGCGCTTCCAGGAAAAAGGACCCCCTGCATCGAGCCCTGGGACTGACCCTCCCTCAATGGAGAGGGTCCCGCCTGGGAGAGGAGGGCTTCCTGTATTAGCTTTCCATCTTAATCAAGGAACAAGTGCCAACAAAGCCCTAATTATCAATGCCTTCACAGAGTTCACACAATGCCCCTCCCACACCCCTGTCCTGTCTCTGGAGAGAGAGAGAAAATAGATGAAGCAACATTGTTTGACGCTACAATAGTTTTGAAGCCAATTTCACCTTTAATGTGTTTTTTACTGAGCAAAATTATGCTGAAAATAATTACTTCTGTAATTAATCCAAAATTTATTTAGGGATTCATACTGAGACAAACGGATTCAAATAACTTCAACTTTCTTTAATAGCATTATTTACATAAATTAAGCCTGTTTTTGTCAAAAACATGTAAAAATGTATGTTTGTAATTTGAACACGAACTATTGGAAGAAAAACTGATGTAAAGATTTCTGATTATTGTCGGCTGCTGATAGGTGAAAGGTGGGCAATAACGTGTGTGTGTTAGCAAAATATTTCATAAAACAGTGTATTGATTTTAGTGAAACTCTTAAAGTGATTATTAGGTACAGCTTAGGCTTGGGTGGTATGAAGGTATTTTGCTATACCGCAGTATTAAATTATGACAAATTTTTATTTATTTTTTGACCCGTGACTTCATGCTGCAGATGAGGAAATAAGTGCAAACTGTATCGGCACGAAGACTTTTCTTGCTAAAAGTGTGCAGGTTTGAAATGACCATGGTAAGAGTCAGATTATTTTGAAACTTAACTTTAAAAAACACGTAGTTTGACTTGTGTTCGATCTGTTGGACATAAGAGGTAAACTCATTCTATGACTCCTGTTGCCAATACCGTACACCCCGGTATTTTCTAAAAGTTGTAAAAATGAGCCCTAGTACAACTACTACTGATTTCTTCTCGACGTCGGTTCGGTTTGTTTGCCGCCACGGCTAATCCATGTTAGCAAACACATAAATGCTATACCTCAGTCAGTTTTGCATACGTTACACTCTTCCCCAGCATATAACTGCTAGGTGTGGGATCTTTCACAGTTATTTTTCCAGGTTGACTAAAACAGCTGTAACTGCTTTCCTTCTTAACATAAAATGCTTGGTTCAAAACTCTGACATAAAAGGTAGCGAGCGATATGCGTTCCTTCAAGAAATTCTGATACCTTTTTATATTTTTTGAGTTTTCTGTATTTATTTTTCCTTCTGTTCTCCTTCCAGCCACATTGATAAAACCACCACTTGGCAGGATCCTCGCAAACCTTTGCTCCAGATGAACCAGGCAGCTCCTCCCCCGTCGGTGCCAGTCCAGCAACAGAACCCGATGAACCCAGCCAGTGGTGCGTATTATAAATATATTTATATCATACAATTTCTATGCAAGCGTGTCTTTTTATTTGTTTTTGTTTGTGAGCGCTCATTTCCAAAATGAGTGCCTTCTTATGGATGGAACTGTGTTCCTGCCACATACAGTGAAATTCAGGCGTAGTCTAGTTCCTACATGTTACTAATCTGCATAACTCAGTTCTGACCATACAGCTGGAATTTGCCCCAGGTGAGGTAAGACTGAGGCAGAGCCTTACACGTCCTCTGTGACTCATAGATTAGCGTCTTACGGATGACGTTACCTCAATGCGTTCTACCTGTTAACTTGTTGGTAAATAATAAACAAAGACTCAGATGTTGACAATCAGTTTGGTTTGTTGCCACGGATGGATAACAGTGATTCACTCAAAGATTTTAAAAAATTGGACCTGGCCTTTTTGGATAATCTGTAGCCTATGTAACCTGTTGAATATCCTTTAGTGTTTGTCTCATCATGCACGTTTGATTATTGAATACACCTACAATTTACTGTAATTATTTTTTTCTTTGTAATTTCATGTGATGTTGGGATATTTAGGAAACCGTGTATTGGTAAAGACAAGTTCCTGCACCAAATGAGCTGCTTCGTATTTCCTTATGTTTGTTTGTCTGCTGTCCTCCAGGAACTCTTCCTGATGGTTGGGAACAAGCCATTACACCAGATGGCGAAATTTACTACATCAACCACAAGAACAAAACTACATCCTGGCTAGACCCACGACTCGAGCCACGCTATGGTGAGTTGGTTTTTAGGCTTTTTATTCCTTGACTGAAGAAAAAAATACCACATACTTCTGTTTCTTTAAAAAAAGAATACACAATGCAATCTACACTCTTGAGTAAAAAGCAAACAAACCACAAAACAAACAAAAATAAAAACTAAGAGAAATAATTCTATCAGAAATGTCTAAGGGTACTCCAAAAGGTTGTCTTTAGGCCAAATCTCATTTCATCCGTTCAACCCCTAACCCCTACATTTGGTGTTTTCATGCCGCTGGGTCGAAGTTTCCCAGTTTTTGGGCTAAGAGCTATGAGCTGGTTTCCAATCAGGGTGTAGGTAGTTTATGATTTAAATTTAAGCTCTGCATGAATTCCACAATATGATCTTTTTTTAAGCCATGAAGCTAAATGCTTAATCAGAAGTTTCTATTTCAAAGTTTTATAGCCTGGTAAAAACCAGCCCTTTGTTCTCCGCTTTGCTTCGTACAGAGGGTCTGGACTCTCGGCTATTGAGAAGTGATTGCTGTTCGTTCTGCCGACAACGCCAATTAACTGTCGTGGCAAGTTTATCAAGAATGCAGAAACACGTTGGAATAATGCACTGAAAATCTGCGTGTGTGGTCGTCATAATGATTTAATTCTGAGCGACAAACAAACAGAACTCAATCAGGAAACTCTGTCGGCCTGTGGCTGACACGTCAGCGGAGACAGCCAGCAATATAGCATTATGTTAACACCATGTGACAGTTTACAACCAATCACAGATCGACGAATGTACTGCCCAGCCAATCACAGGGCTCTCAGCTCAAAGAGTTTCTTATTAAACAAGAGAGGTCAATCCATCGCTGGAGTCCTGTTGTCTGGGCCAACACAGATTGACAGCCGAAAACTGGTTATAAGAAGATATGGTAACCGGACAGTGTCAAGATAGAACAGATATACATAATTAATCCATAACAATATCAAATGTTATGTTTGTTTAACAAATAATGTATTTTCACTTGCCTAAGCATTAAAACGTGTCTAGCCAAACTAGATAAATGTTTGATATAAAATCGAAATGAATTGATTTTCTGTAAACATTGGTTTGTTTGCATATTTGATTTTATCACGTTGGTTAGTTTTGTTTTCTCACGGAAGGCATTGGTTGCTTTTTGTCCTCTTCTTTGCACAAGTCACGAGACCTTGTTTCGCTTTTTATTATGAACTAAAAGTTTAACACGAAACAAACGTTGAACAAGCTTTTGGTTTTAAATAGTTTTAGGAATCCCTGCCTTTTTGAAAAGTTTCCAAAACTTTGTGAGAAACTTTGACTCTTTGCACTCGGAGCTCCGATGTGTCTTCGGAGTAGAAACAGTGACTCACTTGGCGGCACATTGTTGAAGACTGACTGGGCGAGCAATTGTTGGTCGAAAGCCGATTTCTCCAAGCACCCCACGCTCCCCACCCCACCCCACCCCACCCTCAAAATTCTCACCTAACCTTTTGTCAGCCATTTTAGAGTTGGCGCAACAGCTGAGTTAGCCATTAATCCCTCGGGCCGAGCTAAAGTTTGACAGTTGGCTTTGAGTGTGCGGCGGGCCGGGGTGGGTGAATTAGTGACAGGACTGGGTACATGTGCTGAAACGCCTCCGTGGCCATGGGAATGGGCTAATCCTCCTGCGTGTGTCACTCTGGCTCAGTTTTTTTTTTCCTTCAGGTGCCATCCTTTCATCGCAGCGGCGTTTCCCTGGGGAGCTCACCCCCAGTTTACAAAAGCAACATGTGTGAATTCTGTTCTCCCGCTTTGAGTTCGGCTTCAGATTTGAATCGAACGGGCACCTCGGGGCATTGTTTTTCTGTAAGCGATTGTGTTGCGTGCTGAGGGGAGACTGGAAAGATCAAAACAGAGCTGTAAGGGGAGTGGGGCAGCTGGGAAGGGAGATGGCGACTGTGATCGGCGGAGCTCTTTGAAGATTTATAAGTCTTGAACACACAAGGCGGCTGGGCCTCTGAGAGCGAGCGAGACTTAACTCATCGTGTGCCATAAACATTTTTATATTCTCCCAGGATAAATTTGTTTTCCATATAGTCACAGTATTTCATGTCTTAACATTGTTTCTCATGTTGTTAGCCCTTTCTCTCTTTTTAAACACTTTGACTTTGCACTTTAAATGACATATTTAAAGTGTCTGTGAGCTTTTCATTCTGGAAGGAAAACCTCATTTTATTTGTGAAGTTTTTTTTTTACATTTTTGCATGGAAATTGGCTCCTTTGCTTTGTAGGTTTCCAATTATAAGCCAGCTGCTTTGATAATGGAGGCTAATTTGAGCTTTGGGAAGAAAAGCAGCCGAGTGCCTTTAACTAAGGGTTGCTGCCGGCTGGCTTTCCCCCCCGTGTGAGGCCCTGTGAAGGCACAGCCCCGTTTCGCTCAAGCTCCAGACAGACTTGAATCTCTGCCAGGCCTCTTTATTCTGCGGTCCAACTCTTAATCTGTTCCAGACCTTTTCAGAGGGTGGGGGGAGGTAGGGAGAGACGAGGCGAAAGGGGAAGAGAGATAGAAAAAAAAAAAAGAAAAATACCGATGTATGCCTACCCTCTGAGGCCTAATGAGATGGTGAGCTCTGAGCTGTAAACATACAGTAAGTTTAAAGGGAAAAAAAGGATGTTCTAATGTAGACAATGTGTGTTGTTTCCCCTCATATACTGTAAGAAGAGAGGAGCAGCAAAGAAAATTATGACTTAACAAAACTGTCTCCCTCCAGAAGTTTTGTTTTAAGCCTCATATTAAAGCAGGTTTTGGTTCCCCTAAAACGGGTCTGCAACCTTTACAATCAAAAGAGCCAATTGTGCTCCTTGTCTCACTAATAAAATGTGTTCAGAGCTGCAAAACAAGCTACAACTGTGATTATCAACTGGTGGTCCGTGGGCCTTTTCAAGGCCTTTCCGGGAACCTTTACGGTCAGTGGAGGTGACATTATAAAACAAACAAAAATTATTATTATTATATTATTTATTATTAAACACATCAGGACAAATAAAAATACCATATTCATGTAAACAAGAAAAATACCGTATGTAGTTTATACAAATTTTCATTAATATTTATGTAAACAACAGGCTAGCTATTAGTTATACAAACAACAGGCTAGCATGAGCTAACATGTTTAACTTTTTGTATTAGTAGTATTGATCACATATTTGCATTCAAATTGATTTCTGTTGTGAGTATAAACAACAACAACAACAACAACAACAACAAAATGAATTCTGTTATGTTTGGTCACATTTCAAAGAGCCACTGCAGAGGGACCAAAGAGCCACATGTGGCCCCAGAGCCGCAGGTTGCAGACCCCTGCCCTAAAAAAAACATGAGTCCAGAAAAATCTTTCACTTGAAACTGTAAGAACCTAACTTGTTAAGACTTTTTCACTTAAAGGATATATTTTTACTGACTTTTTAGCACGGGTGAATATTAAGGTTAGCCTGGCCCTTGCCTTCCTGCACAGTTCTGCTCAATTATAGTTTCCCTTCCATCTGGGATTTCTCCCGTAGACAAGGATTTCTTCAGTAGAATTTCAACCGGGCCAATCGGTGAACAGAAGGAGTTGTGAATGACGCTGATTTTTCTGTGCCGTTTTAGTCTGCCTGTAGTTTAACAATGGCAGCGGAGGAAGTAAATGAAGCGAGTTCGTGTTGACATGGCTTCCAAATTCAATCAAATTTGTCTCACAAAGTCTGCAGCACTAATTTACAGCCATCTCGTTCAGCTCTGTACTTCTCTCTTCCCAGTCGAGGATGGTTGTTTACAGCACACACAATTTTTGGTTAGCTTCTTAGCTTAGCTTCCTTCCCGGTCGAGCTAGTGCTCTACATATGGCCAAATGTTAACGATTGGGTAAATCAGGTCCAATCATTTTAAACTTCAACAGAGGCCACGCCTCCAGCAAGAAATCACTTCTTAATAGCTGGGAGTCCAGACCCTCTGTACGAAGCAAAGCGTAGGACAAGGAGCTGGTTTTTACTGGGCTAATTAGGGGAGCAACGATACTGAAAATTCACGATTTAGTTTGGTTCTTTACTTTTGTCTCGTGGTTCAATACAAATAATTTTCTATGCCCTTCTTAACTTGTAATTAATTATGAACATTTGTTTAACCTGCTGAAACAGCAAGTTTCTCAGTGGGTCTGTGCTCGACAATGCAGCCTAGGTGGAGTAGTCGAACACAGATCCACTGAGCCTTCAACACAGAGCATCTTCAGAAGACAAGTTGAAAATGAATAAATAATAAAATAAATTTAAAAAAATCTGTATTGTTCAAAACATAGTGTGTATTGAACCTAAAGCACTGTATTGAACGGTTCCATACAGATACATGTATAGTTGCACCCCTAGTGAATAGATTTCAAAACTAAACAATATAAAAGTTAAACATAAATAATCTTGTGCTTCCCAAATACGCCCATTAATCTTGGTATTCTTGGCTTTATTCAGGCCTTTGAGTGCACGATGATAAATTTGTTCAATCTCAGTTTCTCCTCAGGCTTATCAAGATGCAGCAAACACAATCCCTCCCCGAGAGGCCTTTTTATTTTCAAACTTGTTAAGTCGACAAGATGGCAAATATTTACTAAACCTTCAAAGGTGCTGTGCCCTGGTCACACTGAGAGCTCCCCACTGCTGGCACGCCCTCTTTACCTGCCCCAGGTGATCCTGCGGTGTGGTGTCTGCCAGAGATGGGGCCTGATAAGCGCTTGTGTTGATGGGTGTTGCGGGGGTGCGTGAAGAAGACAAAAGGCAGACAGTATTAGCTTGTCTCTTATCAGCCGGGCCCACCAGCAGTCACCACCTGTATGTGCTGCGGATTTAAACCGCCGCCCCCTCCCACCTAAACCACACAAGCGTGCTCACGCTAACACGAAACCCGTGTCTGAAGTCGCTGCGTTTAAACCAGCATTCCGGCACTGAAAGAAAACTTGTCCTTTCTCACTCTCAGATGTAATTCCCTGCCTTCATATCACTACTTTGTACATAGTTCCCTGCAGTCACATTGATAATTGTTTAATGTTTTGTCTGGGAGGGAATCCTTGACTTGGCGGTGTAGCAGAAAAAATTCCACTTAATTTTAATTTTGGTTTTAGACCTGGTTTTGCTCCTGATCCGCTAGCTAGCTAGCTAGCTTTGGAGTCAGCCTCTGCATATCTGGTGAACTCCAGGAGTAAACGCTTTCAAACTGCACCACAGTCCAGGATAACTTTGTGATGAGTATTTTTTTCAAATAAATCAAAGTTGGAATAGTAATTGTTAAAATCTTTAGCTTTTTCTTTCAGTTTATTTACAGTTCCTCCCCCGAGCCTTAACAGACCCACAGCTGTGGACGAGGCCCAACTCCATCATGACAACAGTTAATGGTGCCCTGATGCCGGGGGAGATCCAGCCTCAAAAAGGCCTCGCTATCTGTGAAAGATAAGAAACAGAGAGAAGAAACAAACTCCTCTCTTGCTTCGCTGTGTGTGTGGGAGAAGAGGATGTGTGTATGTGCTGGGGTGGGGTAGTTGCGGCGAGGCAGTGCGGACGAGCGGGGCGGGGAGAGCGGGACAGGGTGGGCCCACCAGAGCTTCCCAGGGAGAGCTCTGAGCCACGGTTCATTCAGCTCCTGCAGGAGTGTAAACAGACAGTGATTGATTGAACGTTGATGAGAAAGGTGGCAGGGAGGGCAGAACAGTGCAGATCCTGCATTTATAAGAAAAAAATGCTACTTCTGTGACTCGGTTGCCTCTACAAGCAAACCTTATTGGTTCCGTTACTGTCTTTTCTTTCTCTACTAGCATGTGATCTTCTTCACATGCGCACATTAGCTGCTGTGTACTTGTGTTGTTTAGAGCCGACCCCCTCCTCATTACAACTGAGAATAACAAAGATTTCTCAGCTGTGTTTTTTTTAAATGCAAACACATGTAGTTAGCTTGCTAATGCGCAATGCAGTCATTTGTTGTGCTAAAACAGAAGCATGCTAACAGCAGTGTTTACATAGCATGACGTCGGCCTAAACTAATTGCATTTCTTTTCCTTTTTTTAATCACTTAACACGGAACCGTCAAGTCTAGAAGAGGAGGCAGGCAGTCTGGAGGGATAATCTGCTGCTTGTTTCAAAAAGAAACAGAATGCCTAATGAAAGGATAAGTCACGACTGATGCAATGTACAAAAGCAACAAAGCCTGTCTTAGTCAGTGTGTGGGCAAGGATCAGGTCTTACTGGAATACTTGCTTCAGATAGAAAACTTCTGCCGGGACTTCTCGTCCCACACAACCTGCTGCACTGGCTCTCCTCTTGTACAAGTTCGCCCTGTTGACAAGCGCTCGGGCTGTTAAACTTGTTATGTCATTGCTTCAGTGCAGCCAAGTTTGAAAGGAAAGTGTGCTTCTGGAGGTGCTGGTCTGTTCATCATATGGCAGAGATGAACATTGGGTTTATTAAAAGCTACGTTGTTATAGCTTCCATAAAAAGTGTTCAGTTTTTTTATTTTTATTTTTATTTTTTTTTGAGAAGTTGCTTATTTTTCTTTTAGTTGCGCCATTTAAATTTCCTTCCTGGTTTGGATACTTTTAACGCAGGGGTCTGCAACCTGYGGCTCTGGGGCCACATGTGGCTCTTTGATCCCCTCTACAGTGGCTCTTTGAAAATGTGATCAAACATAACAGAATAAATGTTTTTTGTTTGTTTTTATACCCACAACAGAAATCAATTTGTAAGCAAATACGTGATCAATACTACTAATGCAAAAAGTAAAACATGTTAGCTTATGCTAGCCTGTTGTTTACTTAGATAATCCAGCTTTTGTCTTTTTCTTAAATCCATCAGAATTACTTTTAAAGAATATAAAATCTACATAATAAGAATTAGAAAAAAATAAGCCCGAATAATTCCGTTGTACAATTTTTTATGAAATTGCGTATAAACTATATAAAGTATTTTTCTTGTTTGCATGAGTATAGTCTTTTTAGCTGTCCTGATGGGTAAAATAATAATAAAAAAATAAAATTCGCAATACATTTTTTAGTTTTATGATGTCACCTCCGCTGGCCGTAAAAGTTCCCGAAAAGGCCTTGAAAAGGCCCACAGACCACCAGTTGATAATCACAGTTGTAGCTTGTTTTGCGGCTCTGGATGCATTTTATTACTGCGTCAGTAGCAGAAATGGCTGCTTTGATTGTAAAGGTTGCAGACCCCTGCTTTAACACCATAGGACAGGGCTATTCAACTAAACTGCTCCAGGGGTCACACTGCAGGCCAACAGCTGAGGGGCCAAACATCCAGCAATTAAAGTCATTATGTAAATAAACCAAGTATTACAAACATCTGTTACCTTTTGATTTAGTTTATTTTGCTGCGTTTAATCTTGAATACAACATACAGAACCCTATATAATAAAAGTAGTGATAAATAAAACAATATTAAAAACAAAAATACCACATTAGGCCTCCTATTTAACGCAAATAATATTTTAACTTGCCAAATTTTTTAAATCAATTTTATTTTCACTTTAATAGTTTTATCTTCAGCTGCTTGTAGTTTTAACTGTCTTGGATGCTCAAAGAAAAGTTTTTTTACAAACTTCTAGCCAAGATTCTGATGTTTCTCTAACTTAAAGAACTTATATGAATTAAATAGGGGTGTAAGAAAATATCGATACACTGAAATATCGCGATATTTCATTTCCCGATACTGTATCGATATTCTAAAGCCCTGTATCGATTTTTTAATTAAGGTTTAAAATGTCAACTTTCCTGCCAGCCGTTTATTTTTATGTTGTAGTTCAGCCTCTGACCACTAGTTGGCAGCAGTGAGCCAGCCATTTGGCTCCTCTACCTCTTGAGGTAGAGGCTATTGTTAAGTGTTGGGTGACCATATTGTAAATTAATATTAAAAACTAAAAGCTGCAAAAAATATATTTTCAAACTATTTATTGGCAAATTTAGTCTAATAATTGAAAACATGGATGAAATATGAAACAAATAAAATAAAACACATATAAAGCAGAACACAGCTAAATGTATCAAAAGCATGTCTATGTAATATTAGAATTTTCTGAGACAATGAATTTTAGTTTTTAATTTTTTCCCCCTGTAAGAGGTTTTTATTTAATAGAATTTTTGGACCAAAAAAATCACAATATATCACCTTGCTTACAGTATCGCAATATATCGAGATATATCGTATCGTGACCCCTCTGTCATGATATGTATCGTATCGCCAAATTCTTACCAATACACAGCCCGAGAATTAAAGTAGAAAACCGGGGTTTGGGATTAAGAGATCAATGAACTAACTGGCGGGTCGAACTTTGCTCACTTGCGGGCCTCCAGTTGAATAACCCTGCAGTAGAAGTTAAAAGAAAATGACAAATCTTATCTTGATCTTACCCTAGTTGTTTTCTGAATAGAACTAGTTTTATCTGTGTCAAATCATACGACGGCGATAAGACTGTCACACAACACCATGGTTGTTTTCCCTCCTCAGCTTCTCGCGTGTGCGCTCTCTCGACATATCGCACCGCGTCAACAATTAATACGCGGCGGGGTGTCAGATTTGAACGGGTGTGTTTCTTTTCGCAGCTCTGAACCAACAGCGGATCACGCAGAGCGCTCCGGTGAAGCAGGGAGGCCAGCTGCCTTCCAGCCCTCACGGCGGAGTCATGGGAGGAAACAACCAGTTGAGGCTGCAGCAGATCGAGAAGGAGAGACTCCGACTGAAGCAACACGAGGCGCTTCGGCAGAGACCGCAGGTCAGGCCTCACACTTCGGCTCTATTTGGGGGAAAAAAGTGTCGGCCTCAAAATATGCACTCGTTAAGGAGGAAAGGAGAGAAAAAAAACGTAAAATCAGTGCATGTTCCTTTAAAACAAAAACCAGAAGAGTGAACTCCAGTGACTCATATGTTAAACGATGGCAGCAGAGATTGTTTTTAAGCCTGTAATTCTTCAATAGGCCCCGCGATGACTCATGAGCTGCTTTGATCAGCCTTTATTGTTCAACCAGCCTGTCATGAAGCTCTTTGAGTCATCCATGGTAATTTTATCACTTCCTGACAGCGACTAGTCGGTGCCGCCCACATAGGGTAGTATCGCAGATCCGACTGGTTTACTCAAGACTGTGTCATAACAGCAGAAACTGAGCTTTATGATTATGAATGAGTCCCGGAGACTGTGTTTACCCTGCCATTCACATGGGTTGTTTAAAGTTCACGGTGTAGGAAATGACCTGTGTGTGTGTGTGTGTGTGTGTGTGTGGACACGCACCAGGCTGTAAAGAGAAGCCTACTATCTAAGCTTACTGAAAGTCCACAGAGATTATGTGCTTCAGGTTTGAGCAACCGGATTTTTGTCAAATTGTTAAGAAACTTTGAGGAAGCCAAAGATTTCAGTGATGAAACCAGAACTGAGGATGATAAAAACATATTCAAGTAAACCCAAATTGTTTGAATGCGGGGAGATTGAAACTTCCTGATGAATTTCCCTCCAAATAGTAGAAAGAAAGTGCGGAACGTCTCATTTAAACATAAAGTATTCAAACAGGTTCATTCTGATTTATAATGAAAAATACATGAATAGGAGAGGCCTGCAGACCAGGATGTTGAGGCTGAAACACAAAGCAGGTAATGAACTGGATTTCACTCAAGCCGTGAGTTGTATCTTCTCCTTATTTGGATTAAGGAAGTAATAATGTAGGTTGGGAGTTCATTTCTAAAATACCAGTTTGTTTATTTTTAATCATAGTTTGTTCATAGATCCATTTTACGAGTTGACCTTGAATGACTTGTTGGCTTGTGGAACAAATGATCAGTTTAGCGTCTCACTCTCTATGACAATGATAGTCCGCTTGATTGACCAGAAATTGTATTTACACCCAGAAAATAAATTCATGGTACTTGGAAATTGGCCTGCCATGTTCAGACCTTTGTCCTTTGCAGCACAGTTATTGTGCTTTTTATTAATACTGATGAACGGTTTTGATCTCGTGCAGCTAAAATCCTTCGTACACACTTAGGAATGAGCTTTTTAAGCAAAAAAATGTCTTTAAATTCATTAGTAATTCTTTAAATGTTCTTCAAATATCTAACACCGGCAATCAAACTTTCCACTTTATAATCCTTTAAAAGGAAACCATAGGAATAGGAAGATTAAATGTTGAATTATTCACTTTTAGTATCTGAAATGAGCTCTTGAGCTCAAAACAAGGCTGTTAATAATGCCAGGAACCGAATATTTTAGGTGGTTTTCATGATTAGTAAGGAAAGTGAGTGAATTTTGATGGAGCTGAGGTTTATTTTATTTTATTTAATTTTTTTTTGTTTAACTTTTTGTTCTTTGGGAAGCAGCAGAATTGTTTTCTGGTTTTTAGCTCAGACTCATCTGAATCCAGAATGTGTTTGGAGCACACAGTTAGGCCCAACAGGGTTTTATGTTATAGGATCGTCATTCTCAGAGGTGGCATCTCTATTTGTTTACGGGTTTCATGCAACCTTGCTTTGAAGTTTCTGCCCATCGCTGGTTTCTGTCAGTGTCTTACTAGATAAATCCAGTGTTTCCCCTAGGAAAATGGTCTTGTTTTACAAAAACATAAATTTACCTGACTCACCTGCAATTATGGTAATAAATTTACACATACATGAATATTTAATTGCCTAACTACATCCTAGTTAAGGAC